ACACTGCTTCGGCTTCTTGCTCCGGCAGAACGGACTACTCTGGACCACAATATACCACATGCTCAATCATATATCCCACACAATTCTTCCACCCACCCAGGCGTAGCCATAGCCTCGTTGCCAAAAGTTACGCAGGGTCTGGCGGCCGAGACGAGGAATCGTCGCGTACGATGCGCCAAGCTATTCAAACATCTGCGTTAACAGCGACATAAAAGTATTCATGAATGACATACCACCGTCTGGTGTTTCGTATCGAAGAAATCTGTGCTGTATCCGGTGAATAGGTTCGTTGGAACAAGACCGTGGTGGTTGTCGAAGAGCGTTGTCGTCCACTCCCAAACGCCGCCGTTGGATCCTCGCCCGCCCTCACTCTCCATCCCTGTGGTGGCGCTGCAAAAACATGTGAGCCTCGACCAACTGGAAGTATAATTCAACTCACGGAACAGCTGGTGTGTTAGTTTGGTATCAGTTAAAGCGAGGGTCAGGGAGAGACTACAGCACGCACGATGCCAGTTCCGGAAGCCGATGTTCCCGCCGCCCTCATAGCCAACATCGTACGTGTTCAAAAAGAGGCGCAGTTCTGGCTCGGTTGGGAGACGTCCTCCTTTCGACTTGGCATACGCCGCGAGGTCATCGTACGCAGTCAGCACCGGCCACTCTGCAGCGACGTCCATCGGAACCGGTCCGTAAACCGTTCGGACCTAAGAAGCGCGTCATGAACTGCAGCTCACAAAATCCACAAGGCCATACCTTGATTTCTCCGTCTTCTTCCACCCAGCTCTTCGGTAGTTCAGCTTTACCCGCCCTCCAGAACGTCAAAAACTCCTTGTTCGTCACGGGCCTCCACGCTGCTCTGAACTTGCCAACCTCTACCTGCCTCGCCGGACTCTCATTATCCCATCCGTATTGTCTGCCCTCTGCCTCGCCTTCGTGCAAAACATCGTCCGCTTCCGAATCGTCGTGACCCAGGATCAGCGTGGCCGGGCCAAGCACGACTGATTCAGTAGTCGGTGCAGGCGTAGCGTCCCACTGGAGTTTGAGGAGATCCCATGGTGGAACAACGAAGCCGGACGGTGGAAGAGTCCCCGTTCCCGCTCGTTGGATGAGCATGTAAAGCAGTGTCTAGCGGTTTCACGGGTCAAAGAGCGGTTGATGGAGCAACGACATGGATCTTACCTCGACGTGGAACCCCTCATGCTCCAGAGTCATGACGAGGGTCCTTGCGATGTTGCGCGTCAACATCCGCTTTCCACTGCTGAGCTCTTCGTATAACTGCAAAAGGCGTCCGCGGACACCCGTGCGGAAGCCCATGATGGTGTCAAGAGTTGGCCAGTCCTCATCGCACTCCGGAACATCAGAGTGATTCTGAAAATTAATCAGCATCGTGAACTTGACGAAAGGATACCACGCACATGACAGTGGTCAGGGTCGTCGACATGAGGATCGATGCCTCGCTGCAGTGGGGTGAGTTGTATCCAGATTATGCAGTAGTTGTGCGGACCTCGAAAATGTTCCAAAAGTAAGCAGGTTCCGTAGGTGCTCCGCCAATGGCTTTGGACAACAGCATGTCCAAGGAATCTATCAATTATGAGAGTCAGCAATCCAGAAATCAAATAGAATTCGAGCTCACGTCGGGATATGGCCAATGTAAAATAGACACCTGAGAAGAGAATGTTCAGCGTTAGGTACAAAGCGGCTTCCATGTCGATTTACTTGTGACGAAGGTCGATCGGTTTCTGAAGGAGCATTGTGTTGGGAATCATCCCAAGAGTAACCATATCCCAGGCGCGCCATAGCCGGACCCATTCCTCCACCGTCGGAATATTACCACCGACGGTCTTCAGGGAAGGGCTGAAGGACGGAGTCTGCGACAGCGGCGGAAAGACGACCGTTGGGCGTTCCAAGACGTGGACCGTGTATTGGCTGCAAGCAGAAGCCATGGAAATGACGGATCTCAACGAAGCCACGGAGAATGCGAGAAGGTGAAACGCTTGAGTGGCCTTGGTAGATGGAAATGGACGGCTCTATCTGCTGGTGAGTGCGAGATTCGGACGACGGGACCGGCGCTTACCTCAATCTCGGCAGCGACCACATTTGTTTCGAAGGAGGCAGAATGATATTCAATACCCCCAGATGTCTCGAGCTTCCATGCCGCTGGGGTGACGCCAACTATGTTTTCGATGTAGTTGAAGCCTGGGTGCTCGATACCTGCCGACCTGTCGTACAGTTCATCAATGCACAACGTCAACAAGCCGCCTTCAGAATGTCTATCGAAGATTTCTTGAAGGATTTCAGCCCGTAGGGAATTGGAGCCAACGTAGACATGGCCAGTCAAACACTTGAGTGTTTTTTCAGTGTCGGACGAGGTTGTGGTAGACTCGCTGGATTCGGTATCCACCGAGTCCACGGACGACACAGAGATAGAGGAGGGACTAGATGAGTGGATAGAGGGACGATCACAACTCAAGGACGGGAGAGACAGGACTGAAGGTAAGAGCCGGGCCATTTCTTGGGGATGAAAGTGGGAAGATTTGGGGTTACTAGAAAGAGGGATAAAATGTAGGGGTTTTATACGGCCATGGGAGCCGATGTCGTAAATAACCTGAGGAACATTCACGATGACCCGGCCGATAGGTGTTCATCGGAATTCGGAAATTCGGCAATCTTGGATGTATGCAATAGAAATACCGTCGACGATGTTCACTACAAATGGTGGGTATTAGAGAGACTAGAGGGCCCGCAAATATATGGGAGGCAGGATGTGCCCAAAGAGTCGGCGGAGTTTCGAGGTGGAAGAAAATTTCGCGGTACTGCCGCCAAGAAAGGAGTGTAACCCGAGTAACGGGCCTGACCACGAGGTGTGTATGCGCTGATAGAAGATAAGAAATAACGGCGAAGACGGGGAACTTTAGAGCCCTCGGGGAGAACGCTGGCGACAGTAGCAGAAAGAGGCGTAAGACCTACGAAAAGCAGCGTTCTGAGCGGTCAAATCGGTGCGCAACATGCTAGGGGTCTGTCTAGAGAGCCGATTTTGCTCGAAAAATCACCAGGCGATTCAGCTGGGGGAATTAAAGAAACTTGACTAGAAATAGGGTCGGTCAAAGCGCATTCTCGCTCCTGCGTTGAATATCCTCTTCCAACCACGCACGCCACTATGGCGAGCGATGGCGCCATTTCCACACGTGATTTGCACCTGAGTTCACCACGACACGTCAACAAGCCTACAACATCGCTCGATGGGTTGCGTGGTGACACTGACTGAAAACCCAAACCCGCTGATATCGAGCCGGAAGCGACGGTCAATCCCAAAATAATCGTGCCGGTGGCACGTTGAAGGCCCTGATTTCTTTTGCTCGTCCTTCTGTGTCTCGAATTCCTCATTGGCCCCAGCTGTGATCCTTCGAGTCGGCTGTCCTTGACTGCGTGCGATGGCTTGAACTATGCTTGATTCCTATTGATTGTGCTACCATGGCGCTCCGGTAACTCGCTGCAGTCCCATTCGCCTATCAAAGATACACAGGTACACGGCGTACATCCATGCTGCGCCGGGGTCACTAGCTATGCTACCATGGAGATCCAAAACTTCATAAATGGCGGACTGGCGAGACGCGTTGGATCATAGACTACTCTTGCACCCCAATGGTAATTGTGCGGATTATTTTGGCGGCTGCTTTTATTTTATCTCTCACTAATTCCGCCAATTCCCTAATTCTTCCGTATGTTCTCTTGTTCTGCTCAAGAAATTCGCTTGCTCATTCATTCAATAGTTCTCTAGTACCAGTGAGGGAACTCTCTCGATCTGCATGGATTTTTTAACGATAGATGTAGCGCGAGTTGACTGCACCAACGACAAATGCTGCAAGCGTTCAGCCTCGCACGAATCCTACATTCTCCTCTGCTCCTCCTGTCGGCCGCTCGAGGCACCTCGTCCTCACCAGCCAAGTCTATCACCATCGCAGCCTCTGTTGCAATTGGTGCATTCGCTGCTCTCATCGCAGTAATCTTTGTCGTATTCTATAAGCGCATGGGTCGAAAACGAATCTATTACAATGTGAAGGTGCCGCGCCGCCAGCAACCGGCTCTCCGGGTCGGTACCAATTTCCCTGTGGAAATGAAGGCAGCGTACCTCGACAGCCCACGCCCGCGTCGATCGTCAATCATCGCAGAACCGCTAGGGCCCCTCGCCCGCGATCGGCTTCTCAGTCCTCTCGCCGCGAGCCAGCAGCCAGGCTTCATGCCTCGCCCCATCCCAACCAATGTCCCCGTCTCCGTCCCCTGTGTCCCGCGTCCCAAGCATGCGCTCCATCCCTCGCTCTCGCGCTGCGAGCGTCCAGCTCGGTAATACGCAATCGCATTACTCTGGGGTTCCGAGCTCCGCAGCTGCATTCCCGTGCCGCGAGTGCACAATTTAGCACTGCACATTCGCACCGTTCTTCTGGGGTCCCGCCGGAAGAACTCGCCGAGCTGCTGGACGAGCTGTCCCGGCATTATGTGCTGAAGGACCAGGTGCAGCGAGATCGTCATCGACCTTCGGCGTCGTTGACCGGGCGACCTCGAGGTGAATTCATCTTTCCTCGTCAGAGATCTACGTTGTGGCTGATATTTTGGCGTGTCTAGTTTTTCGTGCGTACTCGGACGGGATATAAACGCTGCATCTCTTTGAAAAAATCACTACACTGTATCCATTACCCAGGACGCTCCACGGACCAATCTGTGCCACTCTCTTGACTCACCAGACATGTACATACAACAAAATAATCAGTAGTATATAATTCGGAACACCTGTACTTGCACCACATCTGTAGCCAGTACTTACACACTTTACTCGGTCTTTCAAACACCAACAAAATTGCTTTTAAGAGGATCCATTGCCTCCAACGATACACACATCATCGATGTAACGCGAAAATGTTGGACGACTCTACATCGTCTTGTGTTGCTTCGCGGGAGGTTCGGCTCTGATAACCGGTGATAGCCTCTGTTGTGAAAAATTTCACATCTCCCTCTTAGCTCAGTTGGTAGAGCGCGTCACTAGTATCAGCTTGGTCTATGACGAGGTCAGTCGTTCAAATCGGCTAGCGGGAATAAAATGGATCGGAATTATTTTTATTTCTCATTCGTTTAGGTGTCTCCTGTCGTCGAGCTTCTACTGACCTAGCCGATTGAGTTAAATCGATATATAGGTGGTACAGGTGCATGTGTATAGTGAGACTCGTAGCGTAAATGTTAACAGTGTTTAGATTAGCACCCAAAGAATAAATATCCACCTGCGGTCGTAAGTGTAAGGAACTCGGACGCAACGCTCCCTCATACCAGTCCCACTCCCGCCCATGCGGACCGTATCCCCCACGACCCTCAGGACCGCGCCCTACGGCAGCGCGCAAGCACACCCGTGCCCCCGCCGTCAGCCGCAGCGGCTAGCCTCTTCCGCACCAGCTCCGCATGTGCAACATCTCCACCGCCTCCGCCGAATTTACTCGGCGTGGCCGCGCCGGGGGTAAGGAGATTCGCACGCCGACGGTGGCGCACGAGGAGAAGTAGCACGAAGGTCACAATGGAGAGGGCTGCGGCTAGCGAGCTTTGTTTTGGAGGAGAGGTAGGGGGCGAGGGCGGCGTGGAGGAGGGTGTAGGTTGAGGGCGGGGCTGGGGCGGGGATGCGTGTGGGGTGGAGGCGCGGGAGGTGCGCGGGGGAGGGGTGCAGGTGGGTGGAGGGGCGGGCGCGCGGGGGCGAGGGCGAAGACGAGGTGGGGCCGTTGGGGAGGGAGGAGTGGGTGAGGCGCGGAGTGGCGGTGGATGCGGAGGATGTAGGAAGAGACGGTGCGGGGTTTAGACGGCTTGAGATTCGAACGCGCGCGCGGTGTCGCAGGGACAACGGTGTGCATGGAGGCGGTGGATGAGAGGGACGAGGAGGACGAGGAGGACGAGGGCGTGGGTGAATAGGGTCGGGGTGGCGGGACAGTCGGGGATGGGGGTACGCGAGGGAGACGAGACGCGATGGCCTGTGCGTGCAAGCCTTGCAGCGAGGTTTTGAAGCTCTGGGGGCGAATAAATGGATTGCATTCAATGCACTACTTGAACGTACCTCGCGCGTGTCGGGACGACAACTCGGACTCATAGTCCAAGAATTCGCTGGCATACTCCCATTGCTCGAGCTTGGGCAGGACATAGAGACAATATGCCTCTACTGTCTTGCGATAATTCGCGTCGTCGGAGTTATCGCGAGTTGCGAGCCAGTCCTCGACAATAGCACGGCCCGCATCCGGTGCCTCGAGTTTGAGGCTGGAGTACACGAGGGTCAATATTATGGCCGAGGGGATGTGGGAGGCCTTTTGTGGTGCGCCACGGGGGGTAAAGAGTGCGAGTGAGCGGCGGTACGCAGCTATGATGAGCGCGACTGGTGTCTGTGTGAGCAGTTCGCGTAGGGCATCCGGGAGGTCGGCTGGCGGTGAGGCATATACTGTCGTCTCGAGCGTGATTCGTAGGAGATCCCATTTACTGCGGTATGGACCGAGGTCATCGTCGGGCTCTGGCGCGTGCAGCAATGCAAATGCAGACTCGAGCAGAGAATGGACTAGAGGAATCTGGCGCAGAAGAAATGCCCGGGCCGCACGGTTGTACAGCGTATGCAATGTCGCGGCTGGCGATGGCGGCCTGGCCTTCATGGCCGTGCGATTGGACTTGGGCACAGTCGCGGTCGGCATTAGAAGTCGAAATTTCACATGACACCTGCTTTGATCTATGCCTCGACAAGCTCGCGTCCACTATGTGATCTCTCAAGTCCTCCCTCGTAAACCTCCCCATTTCTCTCTATGGACCCCTGGTGGAACGGAGTATTGTACATCTCGTCCTAGTCAACGCGAATTACATTTCTCAAACGGCTCTCTAGCGTCCACAACACCTAGCAGTCCATCTCACTCTCGTCTCACCGGGTCAAACAGAAAAATTAGAGGTCTATGTAGGATGGACCGGAATGGCGTCTGCGTCTTCCCTGGCCCAGTTCAACGCGGGCGGTGAAAAGGGCTTCGAGACCATTGAAATCGATCCACAGTATGCACTTGGACTAGGACTCAAGCAACACGACCTTGTGTGTGTGCCAAAATTATGCCCTGAACCACTGCTGACTCGGAACAGGTAGAGATTGGCCTGGTTCACGACTTGCCTCTTGCAACCTCCGTGGCCACTGAACCGCTCACTGCCGACGACTGGGACATTATCGTGAGTCTATTGACGCGTTTCTAGAATGTACCTCGACCGGCTTGCAGGATATCCACGCGTCCCACGTTGAATCGACTCTCCTCTCCCAAGTGCGCGTCGCGAAAATGGGCCAGGAAATGGACGTATGGGTCCTCGGCAGGACGCGAGTCCGCCTGAGAGTTGGTCCGTAGCCTGCTACACACGAGTCCTGCGTGTTAACTCTGCGAGCAGTGTCGATACAACCCGAGTCCAAAGGCAGCCGCGTTATTACTAACCACCAACACCGAGGTATCCATAGCTCCCAAGCTTCACTCCCAAAAACGGCCGCAGGTCAATGGCACACCAAATGGTGCTCCTCCCGCGACAGCCACCGCCGCCCCGAACGAGGCGTCCGTGCCCCCTCCCCCCGTTTCTCCGCAGACTCTTCCGCGTCCTCCCCCCGCATCTCCTCGGCCTTCCCTTCCCCGAACACACCTGGCCCCGAAGTCCTCGCCTACGTTTCACCTGCGACATTCTCCCTCCTTCATCCCTCAGCACCCATAGATGACACGATGTACCACAAAACGCCGCTCAAACGCCTCCCCCCGCCCGCAGACCCGTCGGCGCTCCCACCTTCCGCTGCGCCACCGGTAACCCGCGTCTTGAATGCCGCCGGTACAGCTGAATCGAGCACGAGCGGCGATGTCGAGGAGGTATACGTGCGCGCCGTGGAGAGCGTCCCCGAAAGCCATGTCGCGTTCATTTCTGCTGGGGGGATAGAGGATTGGGATCTTGTGAGGTTTGGGCATTCCTACCATTTTTTTCGGCGTATATTTTATACCGATTATTCTCAGATTATCGAGACCGTCAGAGAGTGACCAGGTCCGTGTAGGCGCGGCGCAGTTGAAGGTTCTGTCGGCGGTGCATCAGAGGTACATTCTTGTATGACGACTTTCTTTCATAAAGCTGAATCGTATTTGTGCCTCTTTAGCCCGACGAAATTCCTGGCGGGCGTAGACGACATCCTGAGGGACTGCTCGCAATTTTGCGTTCGCAAGTTTGCGATGCACGCGTCGGTCAATGTCGTCCATGGAAGTAAGCCTTCTCCGTCCAAAAGTGAAAGAAGCGACGGTTTACGCATCGACGACAGTGTCCTCCCTCCTCGTTACAGGCCGATCCGGCGCTGGGAAGACCTCAATCGTGCAAGCCGTTGCGAAAACGTTACAGCAAGACTCGAAGACGTTTACTTGTATGTTACCGGTCCAAGAATCGCTAAGCAACAATTTTTTATTTTCACACTTGCCACAGACACGCTATACGTCGACGTGTCGCGGTACGCCGCGCAACCCGTGCACACGATCAAGACGCTCCTTAACTACTGGTTCCGCAAAGCGGCGTGGCACCGCCCCGCCATACTCATCCTGGACAACCTCGAGAAGCTCGTGGGCGTGGAGGTGGAGCACGCCGACTCGTTCCGCACGCGCCACATCACCGAGCTTTTCGTGTCACTCTTCTCAGCCTCTGCACGCGCGGCGGCGCCGAATTCGCGCGGGGTGGTGCTCCTAGCAACGGCGGCCTCTGCGGCGGCGCTGCACCCTGTGGTTAATGGCGCGCATCTGTTTGAAGAGGTGGTTAGTGTGAAGGCGCCGAATAAGGGGGCTCGGAAGGAGGTTTGCCTCTCGCCCCTTGCTCCCTTCAGCTTTGGCTTACCCCGGATATGAATGTGTGGCTCGTAGATTCTAGCGCGAATCGTAGACGAACGGCTCGGCGCAGCGCGGGAGATGCAACTCGACACTGAGGCGCCGCTGAACTACGCGCACATCGCGACGCAGACTGAGGGCTACTCCGCCTACGGACTTGCAGGATTTGGTCGCACGGGCGGTTGCACCAGGTTGCAGTGCGGGCGGCGGATGGGAGTATGCCGGTGGGCCTCCCTTTCTCTTCTCGTGTAGAGAGGAATTTAATCACAATTTCTAGCCCCTCCTCGCGAGTACAGACTTCGACGCTGCACAGGTGGACTTTGTGCCCCTCTCGCTGCGCGACGTGAAGCTGCAAAAGTCGGAGGTGTCATGGGCGGATATCGGCGGCCTGCGTGAAACGCGGCAGGTCCTCCGCGAAACGCTTGAGTGGCCAACAAAGTACGGTCCGATATTTGCGCAGTCGCCGCTTCGGCTGCGCTCTGGGTGCGTTTTCTATCCCCACCCTCACGGGGAATATGCTTCGCTAAAAAGAAAACAGCTTATTGCTCTACGGCTTTCCCGGTTGTGGCAAGACGCTGCTGGCGTCGGCGGTTGCGAAGGAGTGCGGGTTAAATTTCATTAGTGTGAAGGGACCCGAAATACTGAATAAGTATATTGGGGCGAGCGAGCAATCTGTGCGTGTTTCCGACTTTTGTTTCGTGGGAATGAATACACTGAAACGAAATGTAGGTCCGGGATTTGTTCGAACGGGCATCGGCAGCGAAGCCCTGTGTTTTGTTCTTTGACGAGTTCGACTCGATCGCGCCGAAGAGGCAAGTCTCGGACTGAAAATTAAGCAGAATTGAAAACTGAAAGAAGCGTGTAGAGGGCACGACAGCACGGGCGTCACGGATCGAGTGGTGAATCAGATGCTGACCCAGATGGACGGCGCGGAGGGATTGGATGGGGTGTATGTTCTCGCCGCAACTAGGTGTGTTGTTTCCTTCATTTATTTGCGGGTGCTGATGCCAGAAAACAGCCGGCCAGACCTCATCGATTCAGCACTGCTTCGCCCAGGGCGGCTGGACAAGTCGCTGCTTCTGCGACATGCCGGATTTGGAGGACCGGAAGGACGTGAGTTCCTCTCTCTTGTCTCGCACATATCTTCTAAATAGGGATATGCAACTGGGACAGATCCTGCAGGCAGTTGCGCGCAAAGTCGCGCTTTCCCCG